CGGCAATGTTCCAGTTAGCCGCTTCGGGCCGGTGTTTTCCAAGGTGTTTTGCATCTTCGCCTTCGGCGGATGAATTCAACCACCCCTCGATAGTTTAACCTCCCCTACTCCTTTCGAAGAAATTACCCTAAAGAGTTGCTCTAAGCGTTTTAAGGGATTAAGGTCGGGCAGGCGTAAAAAAGCATGGAAAAAGGGTTGACCACCCGCTGGGCGAAACCAGCGACAGATTACAACATCCGAAAACGTGTTTACAGGGGCACCTCTCAGCGTTGCCTCTTCCTCTTCAACCACCCCTCTTCTTTCTCTGATGCACGAGGCGCAGAGCGTGGCCTTGGTCTAGTTTCGAATACCAGCTTCAACCCAGTATTCGTTCCTCGAGCGCTTTTTCTTTTTCGAGAGTTTTTTTTTTCTCCCCCTTCTTTTTTTTTTTTTTTTTTCTTCATTCGTAAGGTGGAATATATTTTCTCGTATCGAGGAATTGTAATTTCTTCTTTTTTTTTTTTTTTGTTAAAGCGTAAAGAGGTTCGAGTGTTCTAATCGAAGAAATTTTTTTTTATTTCGAAGCGAACTTGAAAGAACTTTCTACTTTAAGTTCGAGGAAGAGAAGAAACTTTCCTTCCCCTTATACGAAAAGTAATTTCTTCGTTTGGATTTATTTTTTTATAATGGAAATTAAAAGAAGGGATAAATTAATTCGTCGAAGAAGAAAACTATCGAAAAATTTACAAGCCACTTTTCTTATCCATCTAAAGAATAAAACGAAAGAACCTCCTCTGTCATCCATTCCGAAAAGAAAGAAGAATCTAAAAAATCCTCATCCTATCGAGAGACTTTTTCCAAACTTCCAACAGTCATTTCCCAAAGAATTAACTCTCCCAAAAAGTTCGGTTACAAAATCTGTTCGGAAAGGAACGTTACGGGAGAAACAAAAGGGAAAAGATCCCTCAATTAGATTCCTCGGTCGATCATCCTCGCACGACACTCGAAAGGGGTTGGTACCCGTATGAGTCCGTATGCAGATTGCCCGATTGTCTTCGCCTCTGTCTTTCTTCTTTTTCTTTTTTTTCTTTTTTCCCCCTTTTTTCTTTTCCTCTCGCCTCGAACAACCCCTCCCCCCCCTCCCCTCTCCTCTCCTCGTCCTATGCGCGCGTCGGCCCGTTCCGTGAGAATGTACGGGGCATTTGCATGCCGCGGATTATTTAAATCGTCCCCTTATTGTCGTGGCTCCTTGTTTTTTCCACTCCAAGAGTGGGTATTGGCGTGGGTCCCGAGGCTAGACAAAAAACCGGCTGATCCTCGGGACAGAACCCAAGGAAGCGTCTTCCGCATCCCCGCCACCTGAATCTCCACCCCTGGGGCACCCTGCCACCCCTGGTCATCACGATCCGGGGAACCAGAATTCCTCGTCCCACCTTGCGACACGTTGGACACGTGGACGTAGTAACGTTTCTTTTCGAGTTCGTCGGTTGACAAAGTCAGATTCGAAAAGTAAGTTTAATAATCAGTGATCGAGCATACGTTTTTTCCGAAATTTTTCTTTCTTTTTTTTTTTTCTTTTTTTTTTTTTTTTTTCTTTGATGAACTGCTCTTCTCGAAATATTGGAATTCGAGCTGCGAGTTAAAATTAATCGACAGCTAATATGCTAAACGTCGCTGTCTTCGAATTATTCGAAATGGAAATTTTTTAAAATACAAAGAGAGATAGAAGCTCTTCAGATTATTTGATCGTCGTTAACTAACATAAGAAATTCAGTGGAACGATCAATTTTTATGAAACGTATTATTTTCTCTGAAGAACTTTCTCGTAAAAAGTCGAAGAAATAGAAGAAAAATATACGAAAAGTCGAAGATACTCCTTATTCGTTATTTCGTGAGAAGGCAAACCAAGATCGTCAAAAAGGAGAAAAAAAAAAAAAAAAAGAAAGAAGAAAGAAGAAAAAAAAGCATCAAAATGGGGTTTCCTCTCAGAAGAAGAGACCCAAGGGTGCCGTTTCGCGGTCGAAAGGAGAGTTTCACCCTTAACGGCGCGTCCTCGAATCCGCGCGCACATTCAAATCAACCCTTCTCTCATTTTTTTTTCGCGCTTCCGTCTGTTTGTTTTTTTTTTTCTCTCTACCGCCTCAGGGCGGAGCAAGAGGTATGCAAAGCGATCTTCAACCCTTTTTTCACCATCCATCAATTTCTTCTTCTTCTTCTTCTTCGTCTTTTTCTTTTTTTTTTTTTTTTTTATTCTTCCTCGCGCAGTATCCACAGACTTCTTTGTCTTCCCTCCAAATTCTTTTCTTTCTCTTCCTCGTCCAAATTATGCAGGATTCTCGTACAGAAACACGGGGAGGAAGGGGAGAGGGAGATTAAAATAGGGGTACCTACTTAAAAAAAAAAAAAAGGGTAGAGATCCTTTTTTTTTCGCGCGTTTCCTCGTCGACGTCGCGAGTTAACGGCGCGTCGTCTTCCGGGGACGATTTTAATACTCGTGTTCCTTCATCCATTTCTTTTTTTTTTTTTNNNTAGATGTCTCGTCCGTTAAAAAACCGTTTGCTTTTGCTCGGATTTTTTTTCTTTTTTTTTTTTTTTAGAGAGTTTAGAGAATCCTTTTGATCTCATTAGGATTCTACCTTTGAAGCGAGGAAAAAATCAAATAAGGAAGAAATAGAAAGTAAATGCAAACATTGGACGATCGTCAAACCGACTTAATATTTTTTTTAAAACGAGGAATAAGATTGCACAACATATAAATGATCCAACGGTGTAGCTTGTACTAACAAAAAGAAAACAAAATTAGGAGAAAAAGATAAATATATATATTTTTAAATTTACATTTATCTTCTTCTCTTCTAATTTTCTTTTTTTCTTTTTGAAAAACATTGAATGAATTTTCATTATTTTTGTTTTTGTTTTGCAGAAAGAAAATAAAATTTAAAAGAAAATACATGACTTTACCATTACACAATCGTTATCGACGATCAAAATTATTCCAATGATATTATTTATCGGTGCTAAAAAATTTCATATTAAATACGAAATCGGATTAAATTGATCGGAGATTCCATAAAACTACCCCCTTTCGCGATAATAATTCTCCATCTCTCCTAATCTATCGAAATCGACTCGATCTTCGATTCACAATTATTCGTAGAGAAACCAGTTCGAGGGAGAGATATATAGATAAACTAATAAAAGTATAAAGAGATACAATCTTGGACGAAGACATCCGGTTGGGAACGATTCTGCAATCGTTTATTCGATATATAAAAGTGAGCAAAGGGGGAACGAAACGAGTCGCGAGTCGTAAAAATTTCGATTGATTGAAACTCCACCAGTCTCTTTGTTGCCAATTAACTAGCCCCTGCCTCGTAATTACTCGCGTAATAATATCGCGTATAAAATTAATTCTCGAATTAATATCATCACGGCCAACTCGTTTCGACTACGAAAAAGTTTGCCACGTTGGCTATTAATTCGACTACGAGGAATCGAAAAGAGGGGAAAATTTATTTTTTAAATTTGATGCGAAGATTATAACGCGGAATCGCGATTGGGATCGGCGACGAAAATTCCAATTTTTCTGATATTTTGATCCAAATCTATATTTTTAAAATTTTTTCTACACTACAATTTTTCGCGATTAATAATTATTATTATTTGGAATTTAATGATTCTATTCGAGATTTTCGATTTGATTATTAGATATTTTTTCCAAGTTTTAAGAATGTAGTATTTATATATAGAGCAGAGAAAAAAGAGTAGGTTGATCGAAAATTTTGTCCGTTTTTTTCATCGAAATTTCTATTAAAGTTTAACACGCATCCTCGATAATTATTTATATATCGACAAATATTTCCTATTATTTATTTTCCTATTAACAAAAACGTATCAATGATGAAAATTTTTTTGAATTTCAAAAGTAAAAATGTATCGATCAACAGAATTTTACGATCTAACATCGTCATTATATTTCGAGTACCGGAATATATGAATAAAAAAATATAATAATAAAAAAGGAATAATAATAAAAAAAGAAAGAAAGAAATACGTAAGTAAAAAGGACAAAGAATATACGCTTTGAAATAAAAATCCTATCCTCGATTTCTGGATATAATATTCGACGGCACGAGCACGAGCGGTACGAGAACTACGCACTAAGGAAACAGAACTACGACTGGATCTCCTTTGTTATGAAAATTTCGACGCGTATTCGACAAGTAACCTTCCGAGGCGTACGATTCCACGAACGCGTTCCAATCAATGGAAACGATAAATATTTGGATCGAAACGAGCGCGCGATAAGCCGACTTAAATAATAAATAAATTTTACGAAGCGACTATTAACGTCGATTATTAGGACGACGTTTACTCTCTTTACAAACATTGTTCGGTAAGACAATTTTTATATTCGTAAAATTTTTTACCTAATCCTTATTTTCGATATTTTCTCTCTCTCTCTCTCTCTCTCTCTCTCTCTCTCCCTCTCTCTCTCTCTTTTTTAATTTAATCATATCGTGCCAAACAAAAATATATTATCATTTGCTACGATTTCAAAATTTCGAACAAAATAAATAAAAAAAATAATTATTATTTTACCAAAAAAATTCAATCATATCATTTCCTCATAATTTTCAATTCAACTTACAATACAATATTACATACGAATACTCTTCGTCCCTTAATTTCAATTACGCGCACTTTTTTTTTTTTTTTTTTTATTAAAATTACAACGGATCAAAACTCTACCAATTAACACTACCAATCTTTCGTTCTTTCTAAAAAAAATAACAAACGACATCGTGCAAACGATATACTTCTTGATATATCTCTCGTTACGAAAAAAATCTATATATATATATATATATATATATGTACACACGCGTTAACAACGACATCGTATAAAGATATCGAAATCGTAACGCAATGATTCGATTCGTCGAGGGAGATAAGGATAGACAAGAAAGAGAGAGAGAAAAAAAGTTTGTCAAATAAATTGTTTCATTACAAGTACTCACATCACCGGAGAGGCCGTTGTTCCACGGATAGGGTGGTTGAGGGGGTGACTGTTGCTGATGATGGACACCGCCCACCCCGGTGGCCGAGTGTGGATTGTGGATGTGCTCCGCCATCACGCTGACCCAATGGGCCAATCCACCGCCCCCGCTGGCTGTTGGGCCCGTGTTCCCAGTTCCGGTTCCAGCCGTGCCTCCTCCGCCGCCGCCACCTCCTCCTCCTCCTCCTCCTCCTCCTCCACCCCCTCCGCCGCCGCCTCCGCCGCCTCCACCACCCTCCTCGCCACCACCCTCTGACCACGCGAAAGAGGCTTTCTGCGAAACGAAAGAAAGGAACGACAGGGTTAATTGGACGTATCGATCGATCTTAACGGATTAAACGATCCTCGATTAAGGGAATGGAGAGGGGAGAGGCGAGATTTGAACATCTCTTCACTGTTGCGCGTATTCGTTTTTTTTTTTTCGAAAGGAGGGGAAAGGAGGGGATTTTTTTTTTTTATTTTCTTATTCGTTTCATCGAACGAAACTTTCGTCCGAATAAATAATTTTTAAAAGTATATCGTTACTGTGAGTGTTAAGAAAGAGGAAAAGGAAAATATAAGGGAGGAGAAAGATGGAATGAAATGAAAATGGAGATCGAAAGAAGATACGTTACTTTTTTTCGAGATCGAGTTTGCTTTTGCTTTTGCTTGTTGCTCGTAAACTCGATTTTTAAAAGAAGAAGAAGAAAAAGAAGAAATTACAAGAGAGGAAACGAAGGAGATTAAGTGAGAGACGAGATGGAATGAAAAGAAGAAGAAGAAGAAGAAGAAGATGGATTTTTCCCGCGATTTTCGAGAATAAACTCGGCCAGGCGAATTAATCCCCTCGATACGAGCATTAATCACAGTAATTATGAGGCTTCCTCGTCTGTCCTGGCTGCTTCATCGGATATTCATGATCGAACGCACGAGAAGAGCTGACCCATTAATAAATTGATCGATAAATCAGCGAGGATGGCGCCTGGACACCTGAACCGGGGCTAAAACGAGATCCCCTTTCCGATTAAGTTGCTTGCCGCGATACATTTTACTCGCGGCGAGTATTAAACTTTATTTATAAAATAGTCCAGGTATACACTTTCGTTTTCCTTTTTTTTTTTCTTTTTTTGAACATTTAAAAACCCCTACAACGAGAGGATCGTTGTTTCCCGATAAATCTCGAGCTTTCGTTTCGTTTACGATATTAAATTAAATTAAATTTTCGAAAATCATGGATTTTTTCCATGAAATCACCACGATTTCTTCGTATATAAACCCAATGTTTATTTGAGCGAATAAAAATTCTATTGGAAATTCTTTGCTGAGCTTCTTGTCTTTCAAGATTCAATTTCGAAGAGGGGACGAAAATCACTTTTTGTCGCCGATTGCGATATGAAATATATCCTCGTCTTCGAGAGATGGTCTCTAATTTAAATAAAAAAAAAAAAGAACAAGCTCGATCTTATCTTTCAATTTTGATCGAACAAACCAAATTCAAGGAAAAAAATCACTCGTGTTATCTTCTTCGATGAAATTAAATCGCGAAAAAATTGGGGAGGGGATAATTGACAGGAGAGAAAGAATTAAGAAATCTATTTATTCTCGTAAGTAAACGCGTGCCTCGATCGCCAAGGGATCCAAGAATGGAAGACGAGAATAAATCGTCTCCCGCGAATTCGACTGTACGTAATTGCGCGACGATCGACTCGCTCGCAACGAATGAGAAATTCATGGACGAGAAACCAAGAAAAATGTCGGGTGATGGCGAATCGATATCTCGTCGAACGCACAGTCACAACCCTTTCACAACCCCTTCCCAACGGAAACAATATTCGAAAATTCGACGACGTTCGATGAGATTCTTAATTCGACCCTTCAATCACGATGATGAAACGCGCATAATGAATGGGATCTCGATTAATCGTTGATTACAAACGGCGAATCACCTTTTATCCATCCGTAATCGATTTAATGCGATATTAATTTTTTACAGTGGCGCGTGCCCACGCTGAAAATTTCCATATTTTTCTAATTATCGAATTACGTGTGTGCATTTAATTTAACTCATCGATCTAAATCTAATCTAAATAAAAAAAAAAAAAAAAAAAGAAATTAGTTGCAGTTACTTAATACGAAAAAAAGGGGGAAAAAGTTTATTCAGATGCGATTTCGATAAGCTTGAAAACGTTAACAATGCGACGTTCTGCACACAAGGATCGCTAGAACTAAAAGGTTGGAAAATAAAATTCAGATTTTTATGTTACGTCATTGTTATACAGCGAATATAATCCTCTTATCGTGGCTATTATTTCGAAGATTACAGAATCATGGTTTTATTCCTCTCTTTTAAACGCAAATAGAATTCCGGTTTGAAGGAGAGGTTAAGATTTTCTCTAACATCAAGTCTATAGTTTTATACCTCGGAGAATCTATCTCGATATAGCACCCCTATGCGCCAAGAGTATATCATATATAGATATTCTATAATATGTACACTACAACGAATCATCCGAATTGTAACGTTACACGTTTCCGTGTCAAGTATCGATAGTATACTTAGATTTTACAAATGGAGTTTAAGTTAGCTTAGATTAAAATTACCAATTTATAACGTATACTCAAATATACAAAAATTAGTGTTGATTTCGTCAAAAATTGTCCAACTTTCATTTGTACGTGTAAAGTAGTAAAAAATTTTTATAATTCAATATGAAGAAATAGAAAATTTTGACGATACGATCGATTAAAATTAAATGCAAAAATATTATTAAAATCAATTTCTTCTCTATACAAGAATAATTCTTTCTCTATTTCATCCCCGTTTTTTTTTTTTTTTTTTTTTTTTTACCACGTCCATCAAATCCGAGTAATTACGGGTGATTAACCACCAGGCAGATTTAGATTTGTTAATTGATCGTCTTGAACGCGTGAGAAAGCTGGTTTGAAATCGGATTGCTGGTTCCTCAAAGGGCCATCCCCACGGGGTCCCCGAAGGGCTGTTATTTCTTCGGCCAAGGGGGATGATGCGTTTCATTATTGCCCCGCACTTAATTACACCGTTCTCCAACCGACACATTTTTCTCTCCTTCTTCGTCTCTCCACGTACGACAAAAGCGCGTACACGATTCCTCCTCCAAAGGGATCGAGGAATCGGTTGAAACTCGTTTCCCTCATTTCCGTGGATACCGTTAACAAATAATATTTCTCTCTGGATCCGAACAAGTTATTTCGTGAACTAAGTCTCTAAGAAATATTTCCATCTCGAAAATGTGTCACGAATGAAAAAAGAAAGAAAGAAAAAAAAAAGGTTTTAATATTCTTTTTATAAACGAAGGGAGAGCGATGGAAACGAAGAAATCTTTGTATCGTTTAAATTTTCGATCGACAAAAATCGATCAAATATCGAACTGGTTGCTTAATTGAAAGTTCGAAATTATAAAGAAAGATTTGTTATATAAGTTCTCGTTTCAAGATGTAAGAGAACAATTGAAAACACTTTTATCGAACGAAAGGGAAAAATTTCCTCCGGTATCGTCGAATTGATTTCAAATTTTCATCCTCGCCTATGAAACGCCTATGTTTCCTTCAAATCTCCAAAAAGAAAACAAAAAAATTATCGAATTTTCTTACTTAGAAGAAAGAATTTTCAAAATTTTCAGAAAGAGAAACGTGATAATTATTACCAGCCACAAAAAAAAAAAAAGAAGCAAAACGAAAAAAAACGGGAGGAGATGGAAGCCAAAGTTCGTAACGTAAGCGTAATTGGACTGTGTATTTTTCACGCCGAGACGTTTCGGCGTCGTTCAGAAAGAAACAGAAAGAGGAAGGAATGAAAAGAGAGAGACAGAGAGAGAGAGAGAGAAAAAAACAAGCCAGGGGAAAAGTGCGTCATGGATTTGGGTCAAGAGTGGTCGTCGTGGAATCAAGCGAGCCGAGCCAAAACCGCGAACGTGCCAAGAAAAGTTGCCTCGCGGCGATAACTCGGCCAGGAGCAAAAGGAAGCAACAGGAAGTCGACGAGGAGTGGAATGTGCCACGCTTACGGTGGAAGTTAATGAATTAAGCCGAGGAAAAATTTCACCCTCCCTTTTGTTGTTCGCCGCGCCAACCATTTTTAAAACAGTGTCCACAAACAGTTGTTTACACGCGGGTAAAATACCGCGTCGTGTATAATTCGGCCACATTTCTGATCTATTTCTGATCCAGGATCACTGAAAAAGAACGATGTGTCCGATGATTTTCAACGGAGAGTTCGTTTATATATTATTAATTCGGAGGAGGGGGAAAAGAAATTAATTCTTCTCACGAGGATTTGATCTTTCGAACAACGAACAACGGGTTGAAGGGGACGAACGATTTAGAAGAGGAAGATGCAACGAGGAAGAAAAATGAAGGGAAGTGGGGCCGGTCAGAAAAGTGACAAAGTAGTTGGAAAAGTCGAAGAATCGATGTAGGGGGGGAAGTAATTGTCAAGCAAACAAAGGATCCTCTTCCCGGCTTACAACTACGAAATCTCTCTTTGTTTTCCGTGCCCTAATATTACATTAGGTATTATAAGTAAGCTAACTTTTCCACCCCAAGATTTATGTGTCAAGTGTCACGTGATTCTTTTCGAACTATCGCCGTGGAAATCCGCCCGTTTCCGTGAAAAGTGGAACGCTTATATACGCGGTGATATACACATCGGGAGTAGTCGCGATATTTTTCTATCCTTTTTTTCTTTTTTTTTGTCTTCTTCTTCTTCTTTTTCTTCTTTTTCTTTTCGCCCCCTCCATCTTTTCTTTAAAGATAAAGTTCGTCGCAAAATTTTTAACTCTTTCCTCTCGGCAAGAATTGATTTGTTTGCTCGAGAGTACTTTCGGCCGTTCTTGTCTTGGGAGAATTTGTGAATTTGTTTTCTTCTTCTTCTTCTTCTTCTTCCTCTTCCTCGTTCTTCCACTTTGGCTTTTGCTCGAAATCGCGAGAAAAAGGATAGGTCAGTGAGGAACGCGGAATCTTTCAGGGATTATTGATCTTGATGCTGCAAGTTTGGAACGGGTTTTGAGGAGAAGGCAACTGTTTACCGCGAAACTTTTCTACTTTTTTACGGAGTCGTGCGTCGTTGAGAGGGTGTCACCTTAACGCTCTTCACGATAATTATGATTCACCGAGTTTCCAAGGAAACTCGTTTAACCCGATATTAACCCTATTTCTGGTTGATAATGATAAAACGACTTCGATTTCGAAAAATTCTCCCCTTCTGTATATTCCTTTCCCTAACCATCCCCCCATTCCATCTCCCGCCAATCTCGAAATCTCATCGAACCCCCTTCTTCTTCCACATGTTCCACTCACAAAATCTAACGAAAGAAGAGCGACAACGTCGCTTTCGACGACAACAACACTTGCCAACGATGATCCTTCGACCAAAGAATAAAGAAAAAAAGAAACCAAAGAAACAAGATACGACGATAGCACTTATTAATACGAATAAAAATTCGTGGATGGAAAAAAAAAAGAAAAAAGAGAAAGAGGAATGATAAGAGAAAACGGGAGGACGAAGAGAAGAGACTCTGACCTCGTCATGGTCCTCCCTGTGAAGAGCTAGATTCCTCGGGAAAGCCGGGACGCTGCTCACGGTCAAGCCCTTGAGATCCTTGAGCTCCTTAAGGGCGCCGAGCGCGTTCAGATTATCTTTCAGATTGGCCAGATTAAAATTAATCCCCTGCTCCTTGAAGTTGAGGTGCCTGTTGAGCACCGTCTTCCCGAGGGCGCTCGCGAGAAGGCTGTTGTACAGCTCGTTACGCAGGATGAACTTCTGCTCACCGGCTCCATCGTCCTTGCTCGACGCGTCGTTCGAGGAATCCGAGTCGACCTCGACGGACGAGTTCGAAACGACGCTCATCGTCGACATATTTCGCACGTGCCCTTCGTCCACGCCCTTCTCCTCCGCGTTTCCAATCCGGTGTTTCATGAAAAAAAAGGAAGAATCCCTCTCCTTCCTTCCCACCTCGCGTGAAACACGCGTCTCCCTTTTGTCTTTCCTTCTCCTTTTCCTTTTCCTTCTCTTTTTCCTTTTCCTTTTCCTTTTCCTTCTCTTTTTCCTTTTCCTTTGGAGTTTGGTCGAATAAAAATTTCAACTGCTCTCTCTCTCTCTCTCTCTCTTTCTCTCGCCCTCGCCGCACCGTGCGTTCTCCAAGTTTTTCCTTCCCGACAATGTGGTGGTGTAAAATAAATAATTCCGATATTCCAATTAAATGCAAAATGGGCTGTTCTCCTTCCCCTCCTCTCACCCTCCTCCCTGTACCTTTTCAAGTATCCGATTTCCGGTGTTCAATAAAAAATACAAGGGAGAGTATCCCCTATCCGCTCCTATTCTCTCCTTCTCTTCAGAGCACGCCGTCGTTATAACGTAGCTATAGTAGTTATACGCGAGGTTATTATTAAAATACCTGTACATGTGTCCCTTGCATGTGTATAGGAATATATAATTAAATACGCTTTCCAAGTGTGTATATATAATATAGATGTATATATATATATATAGATTTGCTCTTCTTAATTTTCTAAGTATGTATATATATATATATATATATATAGATTTATCAATCGCGAGAGAATCTCGTCCCGCTCTCGATTCAGATTAAAAACACCGTCGATCCGAAATCAGATCGTGTCCTCGCGGTTCCGTCGAGGATCCCTCAAAGAGGAGCCACGTGGCGCGGCTTCGGATCGAGAAAGGGAGGAGGGAGGGAAAAAATGAAAGGAGGGAGGAAGGGAGGGAGAGAGGGAGGGAGGGAAGGAGGGAGGACAAAGTGAAGCGGAAGCGAGTGATTCGATGAGTGATTAACGTGAAAGGTGGATTGCGAACGATCGGCAAACGATCGAAAAATCTCGCGAATTTTACAATTTTACACACTTCTGTCCGTTTGGGCCAGAGAGCACACAGCCATCCAGATTTTTTTTTCTTTTTTTTTCCTTTTTTTTTTCTTTCTTTTTTTTTTTTTCCTCTTTTTCTTTTCTCCTTCTCCTCCTTAAATTCGTACGTGTTTTATTGCCTGGCGAATCTGGACACAGCTGCTGGACTATACACTATATTCCTCGATTTCTCGACGACTATCATCCCTTCCTCGGGGATATAATGTATTTTTCATTGTTCCTCGAATGAAGAATCACACGTCCTCGTGGCGTTCGTCATCGCTTCATTATTATTATTATTATTATTATTATTATTATTATTATTATTATTGTTATTATTATTACTCTTTATTATTATCGTTATTGTTATTATTATTATTGTTATTATTATTATTATTATCGTTATCATTCATAATATCCCCTACGTTTCTTAGCGTTTACGCCTTATACGATATTACGAGTGGTCGCCTAATACAAGTTAAGCGGGGCGGCGAGACGAGGCATCCGCATTTGAGAAAAAACATTGTATCGTGGCGTTTTAGGAACTTTTGCGCGCGCAGCTCATTACGCATGGCCGCGGCCTTTCTAATTGGCTGGCTAATTAGCGCGGGAGGGTGTCCCCGGTGGCGCGGGCACGAGGTATCCGGCGTGCGTGTACGCGCGTGTACCGCGCGTTCACCCCGCGCCCCTCCACCCACACGGCGGACGAGGAGGACACGGGGGGCGACGGGACGATGGGCGCAGGCAGCCGGCCCCTGCGACCAAACCCTCGACCAACTCCCTCTTCTCTTCTTACGTCCTACTTTGTTAATCGTAAGCGGTATCCGCATAAAACACGTGAAAAATAGGAACTTTGGTTGATCGTTTCTTCCCTCCTTCCCCTCCTTCGTATTCTCGCACGATCTCTCTTTCCCTCTATCTTTCCCTCTTTCGTCTCCTTCGTTTCGTCCCTCCTCATCGGCGTGGAGCGGCGTCATCGAGCGGCCAACCACCGGTCATTAACGCGATCTCACTTCCCCCTGTATGGCTGCTGTATGTACACTTCCCATTGGGGTCGTCCCTCCTCCCCCTCGGACGGGCACGTCCGTCCCCGGGCGTGAAGAGGAGGTAGAGCGGCGTGTGTAGGAGAAGAAGCGGAGAGAGAGAGAGAGAGAAGAGGAAGAGGAAAACGGATGGAAGAGGAACATCCTCCTCTTCTCGTCGCATCGAGGAACATCCTTCAACCGTCCATCGGGATCCCGGCTCCTTCCTCCCCGGGCATCATCGCCTCTCCCTCTTCCACTTCGCTTCTTCGCTCCCTTCTTCGTTCTTCCTTCCCCAAGTGGATGATGCGAGCCGTCGTCCAGGAGGCCCGATGGCCTCCCTTCTTCATCGTCCGGAGAGAGTAGCGGTGGGGCGATTGGTGACACGCGATTCGCCGAGCGCGGGCCGAAAAAGCGGCGAGACGGGGCGAGTCGCGGCGACGGGACCCGATCCGACGGGCCGGATGCCCTCTCGCCAATCTCCGTACGCGATCGGACGTATTCGGCCCCGGCGGACGGGCGGTGGTGGGGGTACGCGGCCGGTTAGTCGCGATTCGAGCGTGGCCGAGTCAATTATAAACAACAACAACGACGACGACGACGACGACGACGAGGACGACGAGGGCGACGAGGGCGACGAGGACGACGATTCGTCTCTCACCTTGGCCAATCCGTCCAATCCGTCCAAGGATCGGAAGGGGTGAGAGAGGGAAACGGGGGAGGGCGGAGAATAATAATAATAATAATGATAATAATAATAGTAATAATTGGAGAGATTGGGAGAACGTGCACGACGACGATCCCCGGCTACCGAATTCTTCTCTTCCGCTCACGGAAACCGCGTCGCGGTTCGCGAGAAGGGGGTTGCCTCTCGAATCCCAGTTTCTTATGTGAGCGCGACCGTGCGACTGGTTGATGCAGTCCGCGGCGGAGCATAAGGAAGCGGAAGCTCGCCGTTCCTTCTCTCTCCTCCGCTTTTTCTCCGTTGCTCCGCTTTCTACCGCTCGCCCCATCCTTCTCCGACTCCTTCGCGCTTCCTTGTCGCGCCGCCGGCCAAGGAAAGGCGCGCACGCTTCGCCGCGGCCGCCGGCGTCGTCGTCGTCGTCGACGTCGTCGTCGTCGTCGTCGTCGTGCTGCCCTCCGTCTTCTTTCGTTTCCTTTTTCCCTCCTCTCTCTCTCTCTCTCTCTCTCTCTCGCTCGCTCTTCTTCCCGCCCTAACCCCGACTCGCTCGCACCCGCCGTGTATCTGTCTCTCCCGCCACAACGCCGTAGGAAGAAGGGGGTGGTTGGGTGGAGGTAAGGAGAAGGCCGAAAGAAAGAAAGAAAACGCGGGAGCGAGACGGTGAATCGATGGATAGACGGAAAGGTAACGAGAGACCGAGAAAGGGGTGGGAGAGACCGAGAAACTCGCAAGGTGGCGGTGGAGTTGAAAGAAAGAAAGAAAGAAAGAAAGAAAGAAAGAAAGAAAGAAAGCAAGCAAGAAAGAAAGAAAGAAAGTAAGAAAGAAAGAAAAAGAACACGAGCGAGGGAATAGAGGATGCGGACGAGGGGTTGCGAAGAAGAAGAAGACGAGGGGATAGAGGGTAGTGGTAGCGGTAGTGGTAGTGGTACCGTATCCCGCGAAGAAACAGATAAATATAGATATTTTTCCTTTGGTTGGCTACCTGAAGGGAGAGAGAGAAGGAGGGGGAGGCGAGAAGAGGGAGGGAGAATGCCTCGTGGGTGGTAGAGGGCCGAGAGGACTGAGGACGGGGGGCGGTGGGGGGAGGGGTGTGCAGAGAGCGAGCAGAGGGGAGGGTGTTGCACGTTTCCCGCCCCCCAGACCGAATTGGAAAAATGGAAATAATAAGAGTCGCCTCCTGGGGGGGTTGCATGGCGGGCTGCACGAACGGCCGAAGGGGTTGCAGCGGGGTGTAGAGAAACGGGGCGAGGGGAGGGAGGGTGGTCGTGCTAGCTGGCAGAGTAGGTGGGATGGGGATGGAGTAGGGGGTTGTGCGCAGTGCAGCATGCGCCCTGGACCCAACCGGCTGATAGGGAACACACATCGTTCTCGCGTTCTTCGTGTGCGAGAGGGATCTCTCACGTGTGTTCCATCGTTGGCGGCGGCGGCGGCGACGGCGGCGGCGGCGAAGGAAAGAAAAGTGGGGCTGGGGGTGGAAGATCGAGAAAGGGAGGGGGAGGAGGGAGAAGAGGGAGACACATACCTTGACGGGCACGTCGAAACCAACATGGCCACCAGTTCGAAAGACCGCTACACATTCCGTACATAAATTAACCCTCCGGATACCGGCGCGCGCCCGCTCATCCGATTCTTTTGTTTCGCTCTAATAAAGTATCTGTGTCACGATGGAATTCGATTGCCGCCGCGCGCGCGCCCTCTCATCCCTTTGATCCGTCGCTCCTTTAATCCCCGTCTCCTTTCAATTACGCTTCACGACTCGCTTCCCGGCGGAAATTCGAAAAAGAGGATTTTCATTCCTCTTTTCATCTCGCAACCGTTTCGAAATATCCCTTCGAATCGTTCCATTATCCGGCTACCAGCCTCGATCGTTCAATCCCAATGGAAATGGACGGCGAATCTCTGGCTTGTCGCGCCAGAGATCGCGAGGATCACCTCATCGATCGTCTTGTCTTTGAACATTTTTTTTTATTAGTCGAAGAGAAGGAGATTTAATGGTATATATATATTATGGCAGGGAAAAGGGAGCGAGATAATTTTAAAACGTGCGACAAGAGTTTATTTACCTTGGAGAGAGCGCGAGAGAAGAAACGAGTTCGTTCCAGTTTTCGCGACGATGTGATCGAAGCGGAGGTTCTTTCTTCACCGAAGACGATTGTTTGTTTGTTTGGCTGCGGGGATGGTTTATCGGAGGCGGTAACGAGACGCAGTTCAAGCGATGGCCTCCGATAATGGAGGCCCGGGCCCCGCCGCCCTCGCCTCGAATGTAAAAGTAATACGCCTAGCGGGACGGAAATCGTCGTTTCTCTTCGGCCACGATTTAAGTGATAAATGGCATCGTTGCCAGACCAAGCC